AATTAAAAGACAGGGTCCCTTGTTCAAAAGTGAAGGGTTTTGAGATGTTGACAGGAGTACGGGAGCGGCCAGGGCACTCTGCATGCCCACGAAGCTGGCCCTGGGAAGAGCTCGGCGGTCCCTGCTAGCCGTCTGCTCCATTTCTTTTGGAGTGAAGCAGGTTTCACGTTTCCTCTCCTGCTCCTGGAGATTTGGGGAGAGGTATGGAGTTGCCAGCAATGCCCACCCCACCCCAATGCTCCCCAGTCTCTAGGGGAGCAGCTAGATTTTGTGCTTCCCGCACTGGTGGCTAGGGTGAAGGGCTGGTCCACACGCTGGAGCCCAGGACTCCAAGCTCTCTCCCCAGGGCCGCGGGTCCCATGCCTGCATCATCCCTGCACCATCACCCAGGGTCACCTGAGAAGACGGGTCATGCCTCCTGATGTTCTCGGGCTTCCTCATGCCTGCTCCGATGTCGCCACATGTTACCAGGTTGAGGGATTTGCCCGTCTTCCCTGCACCCATCGCTGTCCGCAACACTGTGACCAACAAGTCACACCAGGGGCAGAAAGTCCAGCATACACACCCCTTCCCCACGCTGAGCTGGAGTTGAAATCAGCCTCAGCCGGAGAAGGGACAGGTGACGTTAGCGCCTCCCAGCAGGGCGCACTCCAGCATGCCAGGGGGCCTCCTGCACATGCTCACAGCGCGCCCATTGCTAGAGCATCTGCCTCCTCCGTTGACGTGCCGTGTCCCCAACACTCAGAACCGTGCCCTGCGCACAGTGCCCTCTCAGCACCCCTGGTACCCCCATCCCTCGGGTGCCAGTCTCGCAGCACTGATGGCACAGTGGAGGGGCCCTCTCTGCCTGCAGCCATCCTACCGTCCCAGTGAAAGTCAGGTTATAAAACTGCGTCTCTGTCACAAAGTCGGGCTCTGCCACCACGGCCGCCCTCCTGCGCCCATCCGGGCACGGGAACGGAACCTGGTGTCCTGCTCCCCTTACCTTCCTGTTGGAACAGGTCCACACTGGGCAGGCGGTAGGTGCCTCTGGGAGAGGGGGCGAGGTGTTCAAGAGAACGCGGAAGGGAAAGCCGTCCAGACACAGGGTGCCAGGCACTCAGGGCCTCCCTAGCCCCACCTGGGGCCTCAGACAGGTACAAAGAGCAGCATCTCTTCACTCATCTGTCCTGTGTTACATCCCTCCCGACTCTTTTCGAGTTGGGGGGGGGTCATTTGGGAAGTGACTGGTAGACAGGGGGGTTTATATTGTACACACCGTCTCATTGGTTGGCTGTTCTTTCCAGAAAGATCCAAAGGATGGCTGGGTTTTCAATGGGAGCTCACGCTGCTTGAGATATTGCAAGTGGCGAGCAGCACGGCGATGAGCAGACCCGCAGCCCTGAGTGTCCGAACATGGGGAGCCAGTTCCATCAGGGAATCGAGGTACAGAATGGAACCTTTTATTTACGTATTTATTTTCGTACTGGGGATTGAACTCTGGGCTTAACCACTGAGCCCCAGCCCCAGCCCCGCCCCTTTTATTTTTTACTTTGAGGCAGGGTGTTGCTAAATCGCTCAGGGCCTTGCTGAGTTGCTGAGGTTGGCTCTGAACCTTCAATCCTCCTGCCTCAGCCTCCAGAGTCGCTGGATCACAGGCGTGCACCACTGTGCTCAGCTCATTTTTCTTTTTTTGATATTGGGGATTGAATCCAGGCACTCTACCCTGAGCTACACCCCTAGTCCTTTATCTTGAGACAGGGCCTTGCTAAGTTGCTGAGGCTGGCCTCAAACCGGCATCCTCTTGCCTCAGCCTCCCAAGCTCCTGGATTTCCAGGCACAGCCACTACACCAGAATAGATATACCAATTTCTATGGTTCCTCCTTTTAACTGCCTTGTTAATGAATCACTTAGATACAGGACAAGAAGGTGCCACTGGCCATTGTTTGGCAGGAGGAGACTCAGGAGAGGGGCGCTGGAATCTCCCTGGAGGCAGGTCTGGGTTGTTGGGCGCCTGCTCCGGGCAGACGCGGTTTCCTTCAGCTTCTGAGACTGAAGCCACTTTTCTCTCTAGTGTTATTTGGTTGTGCTACACAAACTTTGGCCCACAAGGGAGGTATTTAATAGGTGAATATCTCAGTGGCTGAAGGTCTTGTTACAGCGAAAGCCAGGTTCCCAGCCTGCTGGGCCGTGACAAGGCCGGCTGAGCGTCAGACGCGTCTTCAGCAGAGACACGCAGGCCACCATGCGGCTCAGCACACCAAGACAGGCGACACGCCCCCGCAGAGCTCCTCGCACCCTTCAGCAGATGTTCCCAGGCGCACGTCAGCATCTCTAGGGTCAAATGCCTTTTGCAAACACCCCTGTGGCTTCCTAGGAAGTTCCTGTCCACTTTCGCCCCTGAATCTTGGCACGCAGTTTCCATGGCCTTTGTGACCTCCAGAGCGACAGGATTCACGGCAGCATCTTCCCTCGTCAGAGTTGACCTTGGAGTCTCAGCAGGGCTCTAAGACCCTGGCCCCAGGCACGGGGGTCTGTCTTGTGTGCCAGTGAGACGCCCAGTGGCTGAGACCCTGGTCAGCTTCAGGATGAGGGCCGACTGCCTGGGGTACCAGCCCTGTGGCTGGGGATTGGGCCTTTCACCCCCAGCCTTCGGGGGCAGTGCAGACTGGACTCAATGGCCAAGGTTAATCAACACCCTGAAACTTTCAGCAGGCCCTGACCCACAGGCCCTGGAGACTGTGGGTTGGTGTCCATGCAAAGGAGGTGCCAGGGGGCTGGCTGGCAAGCCTGCAAGTCTCTTCCTCAAGCTATCTATTTGTGTCCTTTAAAACAGCCGTCGTAATCAATCAGCAATAGTAAATCAGGCACAGGGAGCTGTACGCTGCTCTTGGAAGGGTCCTGGGAACCCTGAGTCATAGCCAGGTGGCTGCAAGTGCGCCTGAGGTTGCTGTCCCACAGAGCGGGGACCAAGCAGACAACTCAACGCGAGGCATCTGAAGCCGCTGAGAGCAGCTGGGGGCTCCCTGTGGGCCTCCTGCTTGACCAAGACAGCGGGGCCAGAGCCCCCGACACCGGGCAGTGTCAGCGCTGCAGCCTGGACCATGAGGTTTCCTTCCTTGTGCCCTCATATTCCTGTGACGGTGTGTCAGTCCCCCCAAACTGCCAGCACTTCTCAGTCGCTCTCCCTGGGACAGCACCCCCTCCTACCTAACCGCAGCCGGGCCCGGCCTCAAGGCCTTCCTGGTCAGATGCAGCCCTCCAGCTCACAGAACCTTCGCACTGGGCCTCCGAGTCAGGGCCTGCTGACCTTCCCAGGGCAGGGACGGCTTTCTGCAGAGTTCCTGGGGCTGCGACAGTCAGGTCCCGGCAAGGTGGCCGTCACCCTGTCTCCTCTGTAAACTGGCTGAGCTCCCTCACACTGCAGAGGGACACAGGTGGCCCACACACCCGAACCATCATTGTTCTCTGTTTCTGTCCAAAGAGAACCGTTTACAAAGTCCTGTGGGATCTACAGGCCAAACAGACTGCCCAGGCCCCTGCTGAGATCTCAAGCTCCCTGAGCCCCTGAAGTCACCTACGTACCTGACATTGCCATCTTCCTCCCCCGTGGAAGAAGGGATACGGGAGCTCCAGATGATTTGGGGTCAGTGGATAATCGCACCCTGGGATCTTCCCTCGGGCTTTGATTTTTGCCCCTGTCGCACGTTAACGGATTTGTCTCTTCTCCTATTTAATCTGTCTCTATTTATTCCAGCAAATGTTCAGGGTAGAGGGGGGATTTCCCTTCACTCCTACCTGTTCAGGGAGATGAGTCCTGGACTTGGAGTGCAATCTGTCTAAGCCAACCCCCAGGTGGCCTTCTAGAGTGACAACAGAAACCCTCCTTTTGTTCTCACAGAATGTCGTGGCTGACGGAGCAGGTGCTGTTAGGCACCGACTTGGAGAAGCAGAGCCTCACAGACTGAGTAGGAATAACTGAATTCACACAGACAGACAGACAAGAGCCTCGTAACAGGTGCCTCACGTAAAAGCAGATGGTGGTCGACACGTGTTTTAGTCGGCTTTTCTGTAGCTGTGACAAAAAGGCATGACAACAGTTTTGGAGGAGGAAAGGTTTGTTTGGGCTCTAATTCCAGGGGTCTCGGTCCACAGAAGGCCTGGGGCCCGAGGTGAGGCAGGACATCATGGCAGAATGTGTGGTGGGAGAGAGCACTCAAACATGGCACCGGGAAGCAGAAAGGGAGACTGGCACCTAAAAATGAGCACAGAATATGTACCCCCAAGGCACGCCCCCCAGCCCCACCTCCTCTGGCACTTCTTAGGGTGGCACCATTGGTGGTGTTGTTCCAAAGAAACGGTCACTGACGCCTCCGGAGCCCAGACCCTCTGTGCCACGCCCACCTCTACAGCATGGGCTCCAGCAGCCGGGGGCCAAGTGGCCACAGGCCAAGGGATGCACTGAGGCAGCAGAGAAGTCCAGTAGCAGCCAGTCCTTCTGGGACCCACTGCCCCTGGCCAGTCCGTCCTACAGAAGGCCTTCTCCAGGGGGCAGTGCAGTAGTTCCATGGTATTTACAACTGGGGAGAAGAAAAGAGAAAATAGTCGCCAAGAAAGAGTCTTCATTTCTGAGTACGTCACAGCGGTGTGCACAGCTGGGTGGTGGGGCGGGCAGGGCCAGTACATGGCCTGAGCCAGCCACCGGCCCTGGACACCTGGAGCCTTGGCACGGATCCTTCCCCTTTTGTTCACTTAGAAGTCGAAACAGGATTAAAAATGTAGTTTTCTTCTGCCAGGTGTGGTGGCACATGCCTGAGATCTCAGCGGTTTGGGAGGCTGAGACGGGAGGATCACAAGTTCAAAGTCGGTCTTAGAAACTCAGCAAGACCCTGTCTCAAAAAAAAAAAAAAACATAAAAAGGGCTGGACATGCGGCTCGGTGGTCAAGCGCCTCTGAGTTCAGTCCCAGGAAAAGCCGCCATGTTTGTTTCCCGCCTTCCTCCTGGCTCTCACTGGTGTCATCAACTGACCCTGGTGCTTCTGAAAGCTCAGGACGTGATTTCCACCGTGCACTGGAGGACACAGGCAGAAGAGCAGTCTGAACTGAAGGACTTGATTGACATCACGTGTCCTTCGAGAGAAAAGCATGTGCTTGTGACTGTGGCAGCTTCAGGGGCCGGATAGGGACAAGTGCTCAGTGATGGTGACGCTTCACAGAGAACATTTCCCAGCAGCACCCTCACAAAAGGGCCAAGGGTGCTGCTGCCTCCGCACCCTCAGGTCTTCCGATGGGTGGGCTTGTGTATTCTGTTTTGGTTCTTGTTTTTCCTGTGCTAGGGATCAGACCCAGGACCTGTTACATGCTAGGCACGCACTGTACACTGAGGCACATCCCCATCCTTTTCTAAAAATATTTTCAGCCTGAGACAGGGTCTTGCAGAGTTGCTCAGGGCGCTGCTACATTGCTGAGGCTGGCCTCGAGTCTGTGGTCCTCCTGCCCTGGCCTCCCGAGTAGCTGGGCTCCCAGGCTGGCCACAGCTCCTCTCCACCTGGGGCCTTCACACGGTCTTACTCTTCGATTCTGATTCCGTAACAAACCCCTTTGACGTAAATCACAGTAGAACCATGGAGCAGCTGAGTGCCTTCTCCTGTCCTTGTAGACAGGGCCGGGATCTGATTTCACCCCCAGCGTGACCTGGGGGGACCCTGATCCCGCACAGCTCAGCACAGTGACTTCCGCTCTCCTGTCTGACGGGAAGCAGGCGAGGAGGGGAGCCCTTTCCACCACTTCAGCAGGAGGCCGGTCCTGAAAGGAGCCCTTCCTGACTGAGAAGAGGCTGCAGAGCCTCTCCACGTGGCTCTGATCAATTACGACACCACATGGGACACTGCTCAGCCACTGGGTGAGAAGAGGAATTCGACCCCAAGCACCAGTTGAACAAGATCATTCTGCATTATTCCAGATGATTTCATTCCGAGAGAAGGTGCCCTGGCGCTCGAGGAAACGCTCCCGGGATGTGAAACGGGCAGGACGCCTAATTAGCTTTCAAGATGTCTATACTGGAGTTCAAGTGGCCAGAGAAGAATTCACAAGTACGACTTTTCCTAAATACTCTGGAAAGGGGCTGGGTGGGGCAGTCTTCTTCCCTTTCTTGCAGAGGGGAAAACTAAATTTCTATTTCTGATTTGTAGTCACTCTTATAGTGAACAAAATGTTTGATTTTTTCCTCTTTTTAGGCTTCCGTGTGAATCAGTGCCATGGCTAGGTTCCAGTGACAGCACCGCCATTCTCACTTTCATGCCTCAGATTCCTGCCAGAACGTCTTGGTAGATCAAGACCCTCTTCCCAAGCTTCTCCAGTGGATTTCCCTGGACTCTGTTCCCTGATGGCCACGTCTGGATCGACAGCAGCATTTCTACCCATTTATTTTGTCAAGTGCTCCATGAATATTAAAGAGCATCCAGGGACGATCTGTGGCCCTGTCCTCTCCTTTCATAGAAATGGCACCGTGGGCTGCACAACTCAGCCAAGACTCTTCTTCAGTGAGGCATGGACGTGGGACTGAGTTCTGATCACCAGGACACAAGCAAAATTCACTCTGCAACTTCAGTGACGTGTCCTTGGGGGAGCAGGTCACGCATCCCTCTTCCTTCTGGACGGGCCACCCAGACTGAGTGGTCTCAACAGTGGAAGCCCCAGGTTCCTGACACCCTGAAGAGCCAAAGTAGCCCGGCACTATCTCTCTCTGGAATTTTACTCTCATCTGGTTTAAGACATTAAGATAGTGATATTTTAGAATTTCCTGTCATTCCTGATCAAACATGATCTTAACGGATCTGAGGTCCCATGTCTTTGGGACATTCTGCACATCTCCTCTCCAGTACCACCAGGGGACATTGGCATATGAAGACTCCAGAGGTATCCACAGAAAATGGCCTTTTTGAGGTGGTTTAATCCTCTGCTCTCCCAGGGTCTTCGTTTTTCTTGATACGTTACAAGGAGGGTGGCTGTTGTGGCGACGAAATGTAATTCTTCCCAAACCTTCATGAATTCAAGGTTGGGAAAAACCCACGGGACAAGGCAGATTCACAAGAGAAAAGCCAGCAAGTTAATTAACACACACATGCCCACCACGCAGGGGAACCTCAGGGACAGACAAGCCAAAGCGGTGACCTGGAACTCTGGCTCACACAGCACCTTCAACCCAGAGCAACCCTTGTGTTGAGGAACCACAGGATGGAGGGAAACAGCTTTAGGCTCCAAAGCCAAGACACTGTGGGAAGTGAATGTATGAAGAAACAACTGAGCAGGTACAGTGGTGCCCACCTGCAGTCCCTGCAGCTAGGGGGGCTGAGGCAGGAGGATGGCAAGTTGGAGGCCAGCCTCGGCACCTTAGCAAGGTCTTAAGCAACGTAGCCAGACCCTGTCTCAAAATAAAGAAAAGTCCTGGGGAAGTGGCTCAGTGGTGTACCAGTACCAAAGAGAAACAAAGAACAAGTGGGGTGAGGTCTGTTTGCAGCCTCATTTGGTGGATTCTCTGAGTGGAGTCTTTCCTGGAAAGAATGGATAGACATCTCTTGGCATAAAAGTGGAGGATAGAGAGATTTCCCCCATTTTCTGCTTCCTAATTGTCTTTAACTCAAAATTGCCTCTTTCATGTCAGAAAGACGCGTTCTCCTTTGCCCTCGTGTCCACTGTGCCGGCTTTGGAGCTCTCTGCACACACCACAGGCTCCCCTAGCAATGCTCTCGGCTCCCAGCCGGACGGTCGGGGCTCAGAAGGGTGGAGGCTCAATGGCTGGTCTTATCAGCGCAACTGCAGTCAACACCCTCGGTCAGCACTCTGGTCGGATATCACAGGGAGTTGATGAAGGATGCTTTTGAAAGATAAAACCATGAGTCTCATTCAAAGCATGTGGCCAAGGTCTTATTGAGTTTATTAATTAAGGAGGGAGTCGGTAAGATGACACAAACCTTTCAAAAGTGCTGACATGAATTCTCAAGCAGATTGAAAGCTGGGGCGTAACCACAAGGCCATAACCCGTTTATTCCATGTGAAAATATTTGCTTGTTTTTCTATGGAGAAGAATCACTTGCATTATTATAGGTTTTCTACAACTTACTGAAGTCTTAAGAACCTGGAAGGGTGTGCTACACAGGACACCCCATGATCCTTTTTCCTTTTTTTCCCCCATTTACATTCTTTCACGACTTTTTCTGATACAAAGAACTGAATTTCACTACTAATAAAATGAGGCTTTGTGCTAGTGACTTCTGAGCTACCTTGAGTCCCAACATGCTATTGTTAGTCCAGTTCCTTGGTCATCATCTATTTATGTGTGTGAATAAAGCCCACGGGACCTTGCTGGGCCTATGTGTGTTGGTAGACATTAGTCCCAGCTCGGAGAGCACCCCAGGTCCGGCCTCCCAGCAGCTTCTCAGCTCTGTGCACACACACCATGAGCCCACGAGCACACAGTGAGTGCAAGCAGAGCCTGCGCAGATTTGTTTGCCAAAGCCACCTGCAGACACTGGTGAGGTGGCTAATCTGACAGATAACTGGTGCCTTGGTTAATCAGGAAAGAACCACGGAGACTTTGAGATGGTGAAATTCAGGGAAGCAATAAACCAAGCTTTCCCGAATTGTTGTAGACTTTCCCTGCAGAGCACACACGGCAGATCTTTCCAAGTTGTTGGGGACAGTGGGTCAGTGGCATGGATGTGGAACTGTCCCTGGTGTCTTGGTAACCCAGTTTCTTCTCGGCTTGCAGCAGTTCTCAAGGACGGCTGTGGAATGTGCTTTGGGAATGCAGCATGCTGAGCTCAGAGGCAGGCTGGAGGGAAAGGCAGGCTCTGTGGCCGTCCTCCGCCCAGGACAGGATGTCCTCAGTTCTTCTACCCAGGAGTCCTGCGGGCATCTCCTGGAGCCCCTAACCCACGGCACGAATGGGCGCTCTCCTGGCTCTTTGGGGACCAACTAAATGAATCCCAGGCTTTTCGCTGTCCCCTGCTGCTGGTCTGTGTGTAAGAAACCCACTGTGGGCCACACACGCAGCGCGGGGAGCTGGGCTCCTGGGGCTCGCTCAGGAGCCTGCCCACGGCTGTGGATTCAAAGGCTGATGCTGCAGCTGCGCTGCCCAACCGGGCACCAGCAGGGAGAGAACTGAGTGTGATTTTGTTTTTACTTCATTTCTCTTTTAGACTTCAACCTCTTGACTCTAAAGCAATGGAAAAAAAGGTCAGAGACTCTTTACGTAACTCTACAAACTTGTTGAATGAATAACTGAGCTGCCTCTTCCCCTCTCTGAACACGGAGTTCCTGCCACCTAGAAAGCTCTCGGTCTGTGAAGGACTTAGAGAATCTCCCATATTGGAAACTGTCACAGCATGAGCCGGTTATGTGCAGCTGATGATTTTTGAGGGCAAAGATTTGTCTTTGTAGATTTTATCAGGTAAAACCCAGTTCCACTTAGAAATCAACATCAAAACTAAGATTTTATTTAAATTTGTTTATTCTCGTTTGAATGATTTCATTTTAATTCAAAGGGTGTTCTTGATGGTAAGACATAAAAACAATCGCATTTCTTTGTTTCAATCCTCCTTTTCTTTCATCCTAGTCATTTCTATAGAAACAGAGACTGAAATGACGGGGAGCCTTCTGGAGAGTTTCTGGTAAGGCTACACCTACACCCTGCTGCAGGAAGCAGTCCCCACCTGGAGCCTTGGTAGCTAAGGACTTGAGGAGTGTTGCAGGGTTGCTCATGTCCCAAGTCCCCGCATATCCCTCCAGGGACAGAGCTGTGGATTCCAGGGCAGCTGTCAGAGGCCTGGCATTTACAGCCACATACACACTTGAACCTGTGTGAGTGAACAGGCACCGAGGTGGCCACAAGTCAGGTCCAGGCAGCGGGTGAGAAGATAGTGCCCCCAAGGTGGAGGCCAGGAATGTGTCATTCATCTGATCATCAAATGACCCTGAGCAGCAGGCCCAGTGGCACTCACCGGTGAAGAAAGCCAGGCTCCGTAGCAAGTAGCAGAGCCCAGCTTTGAGCCACGTTAGGCCCGACCCCAAAGCTAACAGGACAGATCCTTGAAGGACAGCTGGATAAGCCCCACACCAGCAAGGAGGCCCACACTGACAACCAGACAGCTGCCAGGACCCAGAGCCACACGAGGAGGACCCAGAGCCACACGCGTCTTCCAGGTTTCAGCCACACTGTTGCTCCTCTCATGAATCCTGGGCCTTCCCCATGGCGGCTAACCCTCGACTGGGAACGCTGGGGAGCACTGAGCAGCACTGGGGAGCATGGGGTTCAACTTCCCTTCCCCAAAGCTGATGGAAAGCAAAAGGGCAGATTTAGGATTTCTTGGAAAGATTGGGGTGCCTGCAAGAGGAGACCGACATTTATATCCCCACGATAGGAACCTGCTTCAAGGGAGGGCGCTTTGCCTAGGCCATGGTCCTGAATGGGGGAGTGGAGAGAGAGCATGGGGAGGCCTGCGGGCCTAACCATGTGCTAAAGGATGAGGACTGGGCTGCGTCTTGGCAATGTGCATGTATGTGTGTGTGCATGTGTGTGTGCGTGCACACGTGTGTGCCGGTGTGCACATGTTTGCACGTGTGCATATGTGTGTGTTCTGGTGAAGAGGCAGGTGCACTGAGAGCTAAATGCCACTCACTGAAGGTCACTTAGAATCGGTGGCCAAGCTGGCCAGTGCCCAAGGGAGCTTCACCTGAAGAAGCCCCTTGTTGGCAAAATATACTGAGCTTCCACACGGCCTGTGTGGACACTGACCAGAAGTGTCCCACTCCAGGTCGGCCAGAAGAGAGAAGATGCAGCTGGAGCCTCCTCAGTCCATCAGACAGATCTACCCTGAGGTAGAGGAAGGAGAAGACAAACCAGCAGGATGCAGAGAGGGACTGACTCTCAAACGCCACTGTCATGAGCTCATTTCAGCAACCAAAGAGCTGAAGACTCACGCACAGCAGCCAAGGCAGGGCTGGGGAGCCAGTGCTGGAGGAAAGATGGACGGAGCCAGCCCATCTGGGAGGTGCCAACAGCACAACACCTGCCTCTGTCTCCCTCCACCCAGAGCTGCCCGGTTGCAGGCCCAGTCACACCTGCTCTCTTCTGTGTGTCCCAGTTAGGTGGCCAGCCAGGCTTATCCCCCGCATGTCACGGTCCTTCTTAAGACTTCGCCAGATAACTGGGGCTCCTCAAAACTGTCAGAAGGGGCACCAAACCCCGCAGTCACCTCCCTGTGTGCTCCTGCCTGCCAGGTACCCACTTCTCATCAACCTGACCGACGGCAGGTCCCCGCATGCTTCTGTTGGCTGGAGCAACCTCTGCAGGACCAGTGGATTAAGCTTCCCAAATCCTCTCTGATCCGGAGTCTCGGATCTTAAAAGACATGCCCTGCTTCTTTCCCTGTTCCCAGCCCTGCACAGTCACACAGACCCTGCAGCACGCAACAGCCAGGTCCATCAAGTCCATTAGGCCAATGACCACCGTGGTGGACACATCATCAGTGTAATCCCCACCATCAAGCTTCCCCTCGCCGGCCCTCCCTGAGTCCATGCCCTTTGCCAAGGGCCTTCCTTTCTTGCCACCCACTGACCGAGCAGTGGATTTCTCCACCCCTGGACTTTGGGTCCAGCCATGCAGCTTGCTCAGGGGAGCAGAATGAAGGGAAATGGCTGTGCACCATGATGACCCCGGGGCCTCGAATGTGCCCTCACGCCCCTCTGCTGTTGCCAAGATGAGCTTCCCCCACGTGGCTGCCCGCTTGCCTGGGCCTCCGAAGGCACACACGGGAAGAGCGAGCCAGGAGGGTGCTGCCCAAGGGACCGGCCTGCGTGGTCACTGCCCAGGCACCGAGAGGCTCCATCAGTCCTGCTCTGGGCACCTGGGTTCTGGGGAGGGGACTTGTGACACACTGAAAGCCAGGACAGCACATACTGTGGTCTAATTTAAACCAGATTAAAATGTGGTCATTTCTAGAATGATTTCCTCTTCTCTTGCATTTGCTAGCTGAACAAGGGTTTAGATTCAGATTAGCATGGTTTGCTCACAAGTACAGATTTCCTGGCAGAGGCTAAGAACAAGAGGCCTCTACACTTTCATTCTGGGGCACCCTGGGAGGACCAGCCAGCCACTGCTGAGGAAGCCTAGCCCCCATGTCTCACCACAGGACCCCCACCCCCACCCCGTGCCTGCAAGTTGACCAAAAAGGCAGCTGGATCTGTTTGAAGTGTTGCAACCTCATTCACAAGTTGCTTATCAGAACCCAGAACACCTTTCCCCATAGAACAGGCAGGACGGTGTTCCCAGGCAGATGGCCCAAAGCCTTCCAGCCCTGCGAGTCAACAGAAGGACACCAGTAACGCCCGAGCGCTCCTCTGCCCGCTGCGGCCTTCCCTCTCTGGGGCACCCCTCCCTCCTTCCTGAAGTGGGCACGGGGGCTGTATTGATAGGCGGAAGCCCTGGCTGCTTGCCAAGGCAGCAGGACATCCCCCCGTAGGCTTGCCCCCCAGTTCTCCAGGACAGAATGCTGAAGAGGCTTCATGTAAGTAAAGGGGGTTTGACAAATGCCTGGCAGACAGTCAGTCAGGGCCATCTCCCCCACTGACCGGCACCCTTGGCTGGGCCCCAGGGAGCTGCTCCTTCCCAGCTCCTACTGGGAACTGAGGAAGACCCGCCGGCCTGCAGCCCCCTTCCGGTCCTGAAGGCGAGACTTCATTTCCCCATGACTGGCCTTCCAGAAGTCTCTGCTTCTTTCAGGGAGGAGTAATGGCTATGTTTTGTTAGAAGAAAAGCCGATTACGGAGAAACTACAAAAGGAAGTAGAAACTATATTTATATTCCTTTTCTTTTAAAATTTTATAAAAGTATATCAATTTATTCTTCTCAATTCAGAGCTCAGAAGTTTACACTTTTCCTATTTGTAGCCCTCAAGGATACAGACTTACTCTGATATAAACTCCTAACATGACCTTTCTCAAAGCAGTCTGATATTCTTCAGTAACATTATTATTTTAACAAAATCTCTTATATTAAAACTGTTACTCTGTTATTCTCTTACTTTAGTAATTTTGGCTCATATTTCAAAAATCAAACTGGTATAGACATGCAATCTCTATTTACAACAAGAAATTTCTTCTTAAATTTGCTCTTAAATATTTCTTTCTATAGCCTGCATCACATCCTAAAACAGGTAATATAAATTATCATCTAACTGGTTTCCCAACAAATTTTATAACCAGCAAAGCACACTATTGATAAATTTATAAATTTTAACTATAAACGTTTAAGAATATCTTAAAAAACTTAGAGATGTTGCAGACTTCCTTTAGTTCAGCTGATATTGTTAAATGACCTCGAATCTACATAGTGTATCTCATATCTAGTTCAAGTACTTGCTGGGGTCATCGCAAGATACCAGGGGACAGAGCCAGGGCCACAGACTGCGGCCACCTTGTGGGTCAATTCTGAGCTCTTACTGAATGCACTTTGGAAACCGTTTCAGGACTACCATACTCTTCATCTTGTCCCCTGGCTCGGGGGTGACCTTCCTATGCACTGGGCCAATGGACACCCCCACCCTTTGTCATGCAGTTGGCAGTCCTTGCTCTTAGGGGAGGTCCGGATGGGAGGCTCAGTGGAGTGACAGGCTGGCTGGACTCTGTTCTCCTCTGCCCAGAAAGTGAGAAGGCTCAGGAGGAGCAGGGCAGGGCAGGGCAGGACAAGAAAAAGCCCCAGAGTTTCCTCCTGGCCCTGGGTACCAGAAATGGCCCAGCCCATCCCAGTCACATGGTGAATCAATCCCTGAAAACAAATCAAAACCCTCCTTTCTTTGAATTCCAGAATCCAGGATGCATCTGAATCTGAGCTCGACTGTTGGCCACTCTAAAAGTTCTCCAATCAGAGAGCTACCAGCTGTCAGGGGCAAGAAGGAGGGTGGGTGGAGGGCCAGGTCATGTCCCTGAGCCCTGGACACTGGCATGTGTTCCTCTGAGATGCCCATCCTCCTGAGCTCGGAAGAGGTGGGTGATGTCCTGGCCCCAACACTGCCCAACAGGATTGGAGCACTTCTGGAAATCTACTACTAGTAGAGTTAGAAGTCGTTTATTCATCACTTTGAGAACTTGGGATATAGTATTACCAAGAAACTGTCCCTGAGTGCGTTGGTACATCCCGGTAATCTCAGTGACTCCAGAGGCTGAGGCAGGATGACCACAAGTTAGTGAGACCCTAAAGCAACTTAGCAAGTCCCTGTCTCAAAAGAAAAAGACCTGGGGATGTAGCCCAGTGTCAAGCACACTCAGTTGGATCTCAGTGCCATCATGAATACATAGAAGTCAGCGTGTACATTTTAAAAAATGGACTATGGGTTTGATATCCAGAAACACACTCCTTTTCAGTGTTTGAGTGCTTAAGAAAGATGGATCTGTGTTAATGGCTTCATTGAAGATCAACCTGGGGAAGAATCTGCCTAACCACTTACAGGACTCAGTTTTAGCCAAAAACAGCAGCGAGGACAGACCAGGGGAAGGAGCGAGGAGGCGGGTCGGGAGGACAGAGAGGCAAGACTCCTCCCTCAGCTGGGGGCAGCATGTGTCCTCTACAAGCAACTTAAAGGTGTCCTTTGTTACTTTTCCACCTATTTTGTCCTCCTCGAGAAAAGTTTCTGACTAAGAGGGGTTTTCCTCCCACCAGCTCCGAATTCACTGTGGGTCCTGCAGTGATTCAAGGATTTGGCCCTCAGATGGTTGCCAAGGAAACCAGCACAGGCTTGGCTGCTGGCTGTGCTGGGCTCTCCAGGGCAGTGTGAGCGAGCTGCAGGGAGCCCCCTGAATAAAAGTCACCTGATAAAGAAGACTTTCCAGGGGACAGCGCATGTCTGGCGTACAAACATGCCCAGCCCCCTCGGACAGCCCATCTGTCCACATGACTGGACAGAAGGCATCATCTCTGTCTCATTTACATGCAAGTGCATCAGGGGCCTCGACCCTGAGGTTGGCATGAAGAGGAACTGGGCAAAAGGAAGATGAGGTTCTTGAACCTTGAAGATAGGAAACAATAAAATGATACCCGGGGTCGGGGAGGACTAGGGGGATCCAGCGTCCATAAAGCTGTAGGCACCCCAGCTGGGCCAGAGGAGGCAAGTCCTAGGCCTGCCTGGGCAACTCAGTGCAACACAGTCGCAAAACACCAACAGACGGGCTGGGATACACCTGGTGGGTTCAGTCCCCACTTCTAGAAAAAAGTGTTTTATTCACATTATTCACATAGAATTCTGTTCCACAGTTGAAATGAAGGAACTGCAAGACATGTATCACTGTAAATCAACCTCAGAAATGCAACATCAAGAAAAAAACTCAAGCATTAAAAGGAGGCTTTCACATACCTTCTGCAAAATGTGAAACGACAGTTTGTAACTTTGGGGTTCATATTTGCATAAGCTAAAACAAACTTTTTCTCTTTTTTTTGGAGGATTTAACACAGGGTGCTCTACCAATGAATCACATTGCCCACCTGTTTTTTATATTTTGAGACTGGGTCTCATAAAGTTCCTGAGTCCTCCTGCCTCAGCCTCCTGAGTGCTGGGGTCACGGGTGTGCACATGCACACAGCTTGTAACTGATTCTTTAACTTCTTTTTCCTTAAATTAAAAACTGGGTGTTCTTATAAATTCTAATAACACAGAGGTGTGCTGAATAACAGTGAACAGCTTATCGTCTCTCGAGTCACTGCCTCAGAAGTAGCCACTGTTAAACCCGTGGGTGAATCTCTTAAGTCACTTTTTATTTTTAATATTTTTTAGTTATAGTTGACACAATACCTTTATTTTATTATTTATTATTTATATGTGGTGCTGAGGATTGAATCCAGGGCCTCGCACGTGCTAGGCAAGCACTCTACTGCTGAGCCACAACCCCAGCCCCCTTAAGTCACTTTTATAGGAAATAATTCAGCTCCGACTTCTTATAATCATAGGAAAACACCAAATTGGATTAGAAGTGGGAAAATCTTATTTTTAAAAACTTTCAAATGATCTATTTTTGCATGACAATTCAATGGGCACGTTTTGAATACTACTCGTAAGGTTTTGGTCGCAACTTAACCAAGGAACTAGGCTGCAGAAAAGTCCCATTTCTTCTCATTTTCCCCCAGTGGGTCAGGCCAATTGCAGCCCCAGCCTTTCTTGAAGACAGTCACCCGGCTCAGGGCAGCTGCCTGCGCCCTCTAGTGGGGAAGCCTCACGCTGCTGCCACTCCAGGCAGTGCCCTCCTGGAGAGCTGAGGTCCTCTCTCATTGCCCAGAGAACACTGACCAAAGAAAAAAGGTCAAAGTGAATCCTCCACCAGGAGACCATGACACACTATCTGAAGAAGACGTTCACACACAGGGATCCAGCACCAAGTGGACGTGGTGAGAGTGATTTCCAGGGAGTAACTGTGGGGATCCCAGAGCGCCCTTTGGTCCTGGGTGGGGGTTCCTGGCCAAGATGCAGATACCCACCACTAAACTCACAAGTATGTCAGTCTTCATTTTAAAAGAAAAGTTGTATTTTCCTTGGGTTAATGGCCCTGGTTTATGACTTTTAAGAATATTTTTCTTACTTGAGAACAAAAATTTTGGTTTTCTCCTCCTGAGTATATGGGATCTCCACCTCTGCTATTTCAAAGGATATTCGTGTTCTAGAGTGGAAGAAGGTTAAGAGCCCAGAGGAGTATTCAAAGGCCTGTCTTCAAAGGACCAACAGTTACTGTCCCTGCAAAGTATAAAACATAATTGACTTATCATCTCCACATGTAAGAGACTAATTCATAAAGAAATACTCATGAACCATCTGTGTACCCATCACACCTCAAATACAAGGTGACTCTGTGACATCAGCCACCCAGGGATAAGGGGTGGGGACCACATAACAGCCACATCTACTACAGGATTGAAACGCTTCACTCCAAACACTAGACCCGGAAAACGGCTCCTCCCAGCCAGCCCTGCACTCCTGTGGGCTGGGGGCTCTGACCACACACCCTCCCCTGCCCACACCTGCGCCCCAGCTCCCCCACCCATAGGTGGTCCTGCTCCCTGCTCAGCAGCCCTGGGGAGCTCAGGGTGGCAAGCTGAAGGGCCCGTCCCTGGGTCAGGAAGCTCACAGGGACTGTCCCATGCAGCCGAAGAACTAGAGAGGATAAAGCTTCACCAGGGCAAGAGCCAGGCCCTGGCAGGGACATTCAGAGGAGGGACCAAGCGGCAGCCTCCAAGCCACTCTGGGGGAGGCACCCACAGCTCTACCCTGACTGCCCCCGGGGCCTGCGACACGGTGCCTCCTCGTGCCACTCTGGGTGTCCCCCCAGGATGGGCTTGGGCTTGTGGCTCCTCTGTCCAGGGTTCCCTTCTGAAAGTGGTGACCGGGCACCATCAGTGTCAGGCCAGGCACAAGGTCTGCCTTTCTGCCCCCCACCCAGCCTCCTCCCCTGGGACCACTCTGGGTCACGTGTTGCCCTTGGGGACCTCCGGAGGGCTCCCTGTCACTGCTCCCTTACACCTTCCCCACTGTGACACCACCACCCACTCTCCCACTGTTGCCAGGAGGCGGCCAAGGAACACAACAGCTGATCCCCACGGAGCACCCAATTTATTCCAAGATCCATGGGACACGTGAATGGATGAAGAGCTTATTGGGAAGCATCTCTGCCCCAGAGGGTGGGAGAGAGAGCAGAGGAGAGCAGGGCGGGGCACGTGTCCAAGGAGAAGTCCCTGAGGTGGGATCCGGGTGGGGCGCAGGGGCCCACTGGTGTCCGGGTGTCTTCGGGTGTCCTCCTGCCTGAGGGGTCCGGGAGGCGGCGGCCAGGGCAGGTTGCACTTCTCGCTCCAGCAGCTGGCCCTCGTGAGGTAGAACCCGGGCCACCTGTCTGTGGACAATGAGAGGGGCTAGGAGTCAGAGTCGCCCACCCTGTGGCGCCCAGGTGGACCTAACCCTGGTGGCACCCCCCAAGGGCAGAGGGTGTCCATTCATCCTTTGGAGATGACACTCATCAAGGCACACATGAGACCTAAGGCAGCACCGCTCCACCTACTTGGCTCCGTGGGCGTCTCAGCTGGGCGCTGGCCGGGGAGCCACTCTGTTTTTGAAGAATCTTCTGAGGGCCTGACCTCTGTGGGGGGCAGGTCCCGGGGGGTCCCTGGGTGCTGGTGCTGGTGGCGCGGGCCCTCCAGCTGCGGGAGCCACTCTGTTGGAGCGTCCGGAGCCAGTCCTGGGGGCCTGCCCGCAGCAGCACAGCCTCGCCAGACAGGTGGCCGCTCCCCTTTACCCCTGGTGGTTCATGGATCCCTTGTGATGGACCTAATGACCTTTGCCAGGGACTCAGAGATGAGTGACGAGACAGAGGTCCGGACACAGCAGTTCCTGGCAAGTACAAAGCTGGATTGATTTTCTTGTCCACGAGGAGGAACTAATTTAGAAAAAAAAGCACTCGATGAAGGGTCTGCTCTGCTGAACACCCCGTGCATATATAGGGTCAAGGAGCAGTGGCCGAGGGAAGGCCACCAGGGGGACAGGCCGGAGACCTGGGCTTAGGCATTCTTCCTCAGTGGCTCACTGGGTCACAGAGTGCTTGCGTTCTGGCTGCCAAGGGTCTGTAGTCTTTGTTCGTCCCCTGAGCTCAGTGGTGAGCCGTGTTGTGTGTGGAAGGAGCGGGTCCCCTGGTGGCTGCTGAGGTCCTGTGGGGTGACGTGTCACAGGTTTGGTTATTATCTACTGACACTAAAGTGCTAACACTGACCCAGCTTCCTGGGAGCGTCAAAGCTGCATTCTTTTTTCTTTTTTTTTTTAATATTTCTTGGTTGCTGATAGATCTTTATTTTTTTTTAATACGTGGAGCTGAGAATCGAACCCAGTGCCTCACACATACCAGGCACGTGTCCTACCACTAAGCCCCAGCCCCAGCCCCAAAGCTTGCATTCTTTAAATGCCTCTCTAACCTGGTGAACGCAGGACAGGGTGAAATGCTAAAAGGGGTGAATGAGGGAACCGTGGCAGAAATATAAGAATGAGGAACATGAAGTTTAAAATCAGATTCACAGTCTTCCTGTTTTTCCTTTCTTTTAAGCCTGCTGTCTTTTAAACATTCAGGTGTTGTAAGCCACCACACTGTGTACGGAGGTGTGTCCCGCTGTGATCCAGAAGGCCCGGCTCACAGACCTTCTTCCCAGGAGCTTGTGGGCTCAGCCTGGTCCTTAGTCATTCTCCAGGGAGAGCGCGGCTAGGGTCCTGAGGCTTTCATTTAAGGATCTTAGCTGGCTCCTGGGTGTGCCTGTGTGTGACTCCGCACCTGGGCAGCACTCCCTTCCACAACTGAGCTGGCGTCGGGGGCACCAGGCGGACGACTTGGCCTTACGACAGGGAGGGCTGAAGAAAGCAGGACACAGAACAGCGCTCAGCGTCCTTTCCCACACGCAGAGCAGGAGGCAGAGCCAGGGAAAGCAGGCTGTCCAGGCCGGGTGGCCCTGGGCACTCGCAGTGTCTCCCAGCGCAACTGGCGTTTGGGAAATGTGGCCATCCCCTTTCTCTCCTGACGGCACGGCGCCTAGTGGCTGGATCTCAGCCGGATGGGGGACCGGGTGGGAGCGACTTCATTCTGGTCTTTGGTCTGGTCCTGTGGGGTCCAGCTGAAAAGCCTGTCCAGCACAGTGGCTCCAGAGCTTGCCCTGGACAGGCTCAACGCAGCACAGAGCCCTGGTCTGCGGGACAGCCCACTCCTGGGTAGGTGGCCGCTGAGGGGCCCCTCCCTGACCTCTGGGCTTAGTGGGAAAGCCAAGTCCTTGACCTGAGCGCACACCCTGGGCACCCACAGACACGGTGGCTGGGGGCGGGCAGCTCGGAGACTCAGGACCTGGCTGTGAGGCATCCGAGCTCATGGCGGCCACACTCAGGCAGTGACGAGGCGGACGAAGAGGCTTCCATCCGCGGGTGGCCAGCAGGGAGCACTGGGGACCAGGCATGCCCTGGCTGTGGGAGGCGGTCACTTGGGGCTTGTCTGAGCTGTGTGGGGATGACTGCGGGCCTCAGGAATCCACAGCCGCTCGGGGGCAGGCTCCTTGCCCTGCACTGCTCCTGCTCCGTGGCTGTCACTCAAGTCTGTGCCCATGCTGCAGAGCTGGGGTGGCGCCCACAGCTCCCCTCTCCAGCCACCAGTGGGGACTGGCGCCTCTGCTGGCTGAGGCGAATAGCTCAGCACTAGGCGTGCAGAGTGCCTGTGACCCA